TAGTAAGATTTCTATTAAAAATTGAAAGACAATTTTAGCAAAAATTTTATTTACATCTCACTGATGATTAAAGATAAGCATTTTTTCATGTGTCTATAGACTCTGCGCCTGTCTTCTTCAGAGAAGCTTCTGTTCATGTCTTTTGCCCACAATGAAATGGGATCACTTGTTCTTATTTTATTAATAAGTTTGAATTCTCTGTGGATTCTGGTTATTAAACCCTTGTCAGAAATATAACCTGCAAAAATCCTCTCCCATTCTGAGGGCTGGCTATTTGCTTTACTTACTGTGTTCTTGGCAGTGCAGAGGCTTTTTAGTTTGATCAGATCCCAGTTATGTATTTTTGGTGTTGCTTCAATTGCCTGGGGTGTCCTCCTCATAAAGTATTCTCCCAGGCCAATTTTTCAAGTGTTTCCCCTGCACTCTCTCCAAGAATTTTTATATTTTCATGTCTTAAGTCCTTTAACCAGTGAGAGTCAATTTTCATTAGAGGAGAAAGGTGTGGGTCCAGGTGTGGGTCTACAAGTCGCCAGCCAGTTCACCCAGCACCATTTGTTAAATAAGGAATCTTTCCCCCAATATATATTTTTGATAGGCTTATCAAAGATATCAAATGACAATAAGCATCTGGGTTCATCTCTTGGTTCTCAATTCTGCTCCATACATCTACCTCTCTATTTTTGTGCCTGTACCATGCTGTTTTGATCACTATAGGTTTATAGTACCGTCTGAAGTCTGGTAGCGTGATTCCTCCTGCTTTGTTTTTATTTCTGAGTAATGTCTTGGCTATTTGAGGTTTTTTCTCTTTCCATATAAAACAAAGTACTAATTTTTCTAGATCTTTAAAGTATGACAGAGGTACTTTAAAAATAAGTAAAATTTTCATTTATATATTTATGACCCCAATGTAGCTTAGCTTGTCTGCTTGTAAAACTTGTCTAAGCAGACTATAGAGAAAAACTTAGACTTAAATCTGTCAGATCATTAGCTAAAGACCCACTGGTCAGACTTTAAATTGTACAGACATACTCCATATGGCCACATATGTCATGACAAATGTTCTTTTCCTTGAAATACTACAGTGCTTTAGTGTTCTTCTATCATTGTTCCCTGGAATTATAATCTTTCTCCCATTTTTCTAAAATTTCAAATTGTGGGGTACAGATTTTTTCTTTGCATGCTTTATACAGATTGAGTCAAAGTTATACACATAAATGTGCCCTTCACCCAAGACTATTCTCCAAATTTTAGTAGTAAATGAGGGATACAGTAGGTGCCCAGGGCGAGAGAAATGAAAATTTATGTTCCATATAGTATTAGCAACCCAATAATATAACAGTATCAGTAAAAAAGAAAATTCTGGAAACAGAGCAGAGACCATGTTTAAAAAGTCAAGGGTGACTGCTTAACTTCTGTGGGCTCTGAGGATTGTAAATTAACCTCAACCCAAAGGCCTGATAAGTTGTCTTAGCCCACAGACTGTGTTTTAGCACCAATTTTCAGCTGTGCCAAAATTCAAGAAGAAGGTGACTCACTCTCTGATACAAGCAATATTTAGCTGGATCTTGAAAAAATAATGTAGGATTTGATAATTACAATAATATACTTGTAGGTATTTTATAACATACTTTTATAATATATAACTTTTTATTATACAATATTCACTCGATAGATATTTCAGTCTATGAGCTTTGTTCTTCAATTATACTTCAAAAACCATTTAAGCATGTATAAGTATAAATATTTAAATATTATTAAATATTAAAAAGTATGTACTAGTGAAGAGATAGACATCTATAGTATATTAAAAAAAGAAGTTCCTCCTCCCCTTCTTCCTTTATGCTGAAGGAAAAGACAGTGAGAGCTTGACCTTTAATTTTAAACAAGTTAAAAAATATTTTTACATAGCTAACTAAATTAACATTTCTATTGTTAAATGCCTATGTGTTTATGTTACGCAGTTTTCTACATACTTTAAGGGAAATCAGCAATCTTTGACCCAACCCCAACTCTGAGATTAGAACGTTGTAATGATAGTTTCATGGCAGACGTTTGACGTGATTCTTTGCCACACAATTTTACAGCCGTAGCACTATAGGCGAAGATGTTCCACGTTTCCCACAGGTCGGATTGGGGATGAAGATTGGCAGGGAGATTTTGAATACTCATCTTCATGTTTCTGTTTTATCCTCATTGTGCCCACTGGGGGGTGCTAAAGAGCTATACTGTGAAGGTAGCCCGATGACAGCTTCCTTAACCTCTGAGGATTTCCTTGTGCTCTTAAATCTTGCTGAAACGTTTTCTCTTTCCTGTCACTTCATGCTTTCAGTTCTGGATGCCCATTTTAACTCTTTTGAAAAGACGCCTGCCGCTCCTGGGTACAGGACTCCATCTCCATGATGTTCTATTGGTTGCCACTGACCTGCTTCCCCTACAAGTTTCTTGAGTTTCTTGGTAAGATGTCTGCTGGTTTTCTTATAGAAATAAAGATCCTTTTCCAACTGCTAATTTTTTTCGCCACTTTCTTTAAGAGTTTCAGTAATGCCTTCTCCATCTTGCTCTTTGATAAGATGCGACAATAACAGCATTTTTTGCCCACATTCTTTTCGTCTTCAGTTTTACTGCAATTTCAGATCTTCTAGTGCAGATTTCAACTTATGGGCCAAAAAATTATCCCATTCCAGAGCCTCCAGCTTCATGTCTTCACTATGTAATTGTGGTTTCCATTCACTTTTCTCACATTAGCCATCTCACTGAAATACCTGAACAGAACAGCTCTAGTCCCAACACCACTCAGACAAGTTAGTTTTTCCAAGACATTTGCTTGACTATGAAAGAGGTTTTGTAAACACGCTCTGAGAAGTTCTGGAGAGTCTGGATCCTTTCATTCTTGTATTTCATTGCAGCCTCCAAAGCTTCAAATCATTTTTTCCAGTTGGAAAAGCACACGCTCGTCTTCAGCTGATAACCCTCTATGCTTTGTAAGTTTTTTATCCACACTGTTTCTTCCTCTCTGGAGCTGATCATTTTCTTTCTGAAGAGCTTCAGCTGTTTCTGAAATCTTATTTCCCCCTCAGCTGTGCTGCTTTAAAGCTGCCCACTCTTTTCAGACAATTGTTGGTCCAATAAGTTCAGGTGAATTTATATTTTCAAACTATCTCTGCGTAAGGCCTGACGACATCGCGACCTCTTGTTTACCAAGTGGCTCTCCACTAAGAGGGCATCCTTCTCAGAAACTATGTCCTCGCATCTCTTTAAGTCTTCTTCCAGCTCAGACAGAGCACGTGCCTCGCTCACTGCAGTTACTGCTGCGCTAACTGAGATGGTCGGGGCACAGGAATACAATGCAGTTGAATATTCAATCCACTGTCAGTTATTAAACATACTCACATTTATCTTTTTTAATTCGCTCTGTATGTCTGAAGCACTAAACATCATGGGCATTTTAGAAAAGCCAGTTGAGGCTGATAAATAGCTTTGCTTTTATTCCATTCTTCTTCTTTCCCTTCTCTGTCTCTCCCTCTTTCTTTACTAATCTTTTAAGTTATGCGAGATAATTTTAGTTCCCAACTGGAGTACTGAAGCTGCTTGTCGTCTTCAGAAATAGCTGCCGTGGTGCTCCCTCTGTGGAGGTAGAGGGTTGGAGACATCCTGCTGTGGGGTTTTGTTTTATTTCTCCTATTTCTTCTCCTTTCCCGATCACTTCGTCACTGAAGGAAGTGATCAGCCACAGCTGCAGGGTGGATGGAGGAAAAGGGGAAATTTCAATGCATACTGTTTTTGTTGTTGACTCTTAGGTGATTATACTCTCTTTGATTCTACTCACCATGTATAAACCCAATTTTTGTCATGAAAGCAACCATTGGCTCCCAAGTCAAATATTCATAGAGCGTGACAGATTGATATGTCAAAAGTGATGGCAAGAATGCATCTGGTTTTTATAGCTCTAAGTCTTCTTTTTAAATGCAGAGTCTCACGGATTATGATGAAGTGCCCATTCTGATCACATAAAAATTGTTTCATATGAATAATCCAAGTTAAAAAAGAAACAAAAGATTTTGATAATCTTTCAGTGTGTTATTTGTTGCCAATACACCAAGCATAACATTTTTTTATATCTCAGCTATAGAATATTATTAAAATGCTAAAATAATTTTCTAATGTAGAAGGAAAAACTATCAAATCATAACACATCACTCAACTGAAGTCAACAGAATTTTAAAATGGCTTGTTTTTAATTAGAAAGGAAATAATTGATGAACCTCAATTTTGTTGGGAACCTCTTATTTTCCTCAGGAGAATATTGAGAGAATCAATATTCACTTCTGTGGTTACATATGAGGATCAGATAGTCTCCTTTCTAGATGTAACTTAATCCATTTTAGCCGACTTTTAAAAATGATACATTTCTATGTGGAACTGAAAATAAGTGATTATTAATAACAAATGAAAGTATTCATACTGACATACTAAATTTGAAACAAAACCTTCTGTATTATATATATAATATATAAGCCTTCTATATTATAAAATGCAATTATATACCTCCTGTACCCAAAGAAAAAATTTCCTATACCGAAATGCTTGTTAAATCTGCAAAAAACATAACACAATTTAATTTTTCACCTGAAAACTTTAAATGTTTCTCTCAGGACTATATACAGCCTGATAGTATGGATTCTAGACAGTAGTTTGAAAGAAACCAATAGTGAAAATGAATTTTGTGCCATCAGACACTTTAAAAACTAGATTTAGCAGCAGTCACATTAGCTTAGATAATGGGAGAATTTTTCTTCATTGAAAATGCTCTCTGTCGCTTAAGAAGAACTTACTGAGGCAGCCTGCCATCTAGCTTTTTCACAGAAAAACAGGCTTGCAGACTGCAGATGAGAGAGTCTGGAGCAGAGACAATTTTAACTTAGCCATTCCTAATTTATCTCAAGCATTTTCAATTCATCTTCACTGCTCTATGCACACAGGAACACCAGATTGCCATCCCTGGGGAACAGAATGCAACCCGGGATCTAGAGAGCTGTCACATTCCAAGAAATATTTAAATTGTGCTGATTTTCTTCTGGAGAACTGAGCCCAGGGAATGAAACTCTCCATCAAGTCATAGCTTTGCGGGCAATAGATCAGAGGATATTGCCAGTTTTCTAATGGATCATTGTTATCGGGCAGGTTTTCTCTGAAGGTATGTAGTCATTTTCTCAATTCATTACCCTCTACTATTTATCAGGTAATAATCTAATGAGCTGGGGATCCAGATCTGTAAAGAGAGAGATGTGGAGTAGTCGGTATTAACTGATGAATGACACTTTATTGCTGCATGTTTGTGGGTGAAATAATCTGATTCCTTTCTTAAAGATGAGGAGGATGTAGTTTGAACTGCACTGTCAGCAAAGATAGGCAAAACCAAAACTAAACCACCGCGCTGCAAGCTGCATTATCATAAGTTCATATTAATTCACATGAGAATGTTCCTTTTGTAGCTGCAACATTTTATGAAGGAAAATGCCTACTCTGGAAACTCTCATAACAATATATATTTTTGAATCATTGTGAAATGAGCATGATATTATCTCCATATTTTCCCCAGTACAAACTTTTGTTTGAAATGGTGTTTTTAATTTTGGTGTCACTGACAGATTTATGACTTATAAATATCTGAGTGATGAAAGTACTTAATTTAAAGAAACTTCATCGAAGTCTTCTTGAGAACACGGTTGCACTTTGCTTTCCATAGCTTTATTTTTAAGGTTGCAAAAATTGTTCTAAAATGGATTGCAATGGCTTTAGTTAAATATACTATAAAAATGCATTCTTTAACTTTCTTCGGTCAGTAAAAACCTGAGTACATTTTATAGAAGTACAGAAACTGTTTAGCAAATAAAATGTGAAAAGCTGACAAACTTCTGAAAATCAGCTGACCCATTCAGAAAGCTTTATTCTAAACTCAGATTGATCTTATTATAGTTATATATCAGAACAGGGTAAGGTGACTTCTGTGTCTCTTTCCTAGAAGTTAAAGAGGAGTGTGTGAGGGTGTGTGTGTGTTTGTGTAGGAGTGAAGGTTTTTGTCTGAGAGAGTGAACGGGGAAAGAGGGTAGCAAGCAATTACATAGTCATCTCAGTACTTAGCAAAACTAAAGACATTTTTAAATATGGCATTAGGGCTTTGATGCTTTTATTCAATCTTTTATTATTGAGTGAATGGGGTCAGTGAAACCTACCATGTTGTTGGTATTTTTTCTGCGTTAAAAATGACTGTGAGAATGGATAGGAAAGTAGGTGTGTTTGACCTAGAGCTTGGTGTAGCTGGTGCTGTGTTTAGACTGAAACAGTTTGTGTGTCCACCACTGCCTTTAATAGGCTCTGGAGAGGAAATGGTGGTTGAGCTTTGCAAGTGCACTTGTTAAATGTGTTCCAGTTTCTTTGGAGCATTCAAAAGACTATTACAAGAATAAAGGAAAGAGAGGAGAAGGATTGAGTCACCCAAATGGCAACTTTCAGTGCATTTTCTCTTATCCTCAGAGGGATTGTAAAAGGGAAAAGAGGATAGAGCACAGAGTCCTCAAAGGGTACTTTTAAGTGCTTCTTTTTTCATGAACCTTAACAAGAATTGAGGAACAAGGGCTTAAATTAAGTTTTCCCCATGGATTCCTCTGTTTGGCAAGCTTTCCCTCCTTCAAGAACCTTTTCTCTCTGCTCCTTTCAAAAAAAGTGAAATTGTTCTCAACCTGATTCCTTCCCTAGTAACTTACAGCTCTATTTTAAATCTACAGAAGTACACTCTCTGAAACTGCATACACTCCGGAATCTTCAGAGTCTTACCATTCAGTGGCTTATGAATTCCAGAGGTTAATAGTGATTTCTCATCCTTTCTTTCTCTCTTTATTTTTCATATCACAACTGGCTCTTCCAAAAATCTCAGATTCTGTGCATAAAAGGGCATACATAGGAAAAGAGAGGAAAAAATTCAGTGAACAGATCTTATGATCTTTCCAATAGGAGCAATGATAATACAATTGGACCATGAAACCTGTCACTTCATGTTTGGACACGGGGAAGCCATAACCGCAGTGTAGCCATACCTCCTTTAATTTACCTTTCAAACGTTGTATGAGTGGAGATGAGGATAAAACTGAAGGTGGTCTCTTCATTTCTCAAATTGCAATAAAAATGTTACGGCTGTTACCTGCTATTTGCCTTTTCTACCACAATCATGTTAGTGTCTCCTGGCTCCCCATAGAGCTCATGCGCTTACCCAGCCACTGAAATCGGCTCAGCTTCCAGGTCTAGTTCCCAAACTTACTTTGCTTCATCTTCTGGTGACTTTATTGCAAAACATATTACCATAATTTCATTTTATTAGTCGCTGTTAAATTACATTTATTGAGTGCCCATGATACGTTTGTTGCTTCCAAGGAACACGTAGGAAGAAAATAAGCCATGGTATTCTTTCATAAATCGGCTGTTTTATTAATATTTCAGGACCTCTAATTGGTACACACAAAAGGAGGAAATTAAGCCTGGCTCTTTAGCTGTTACTTATGTGCGTGGAAGGCATAAAATGGTCTATATTTAGTCCATGGCTTAAGTTCATCTTTACTGAGGATCCCGGACAAATCATCCCATTGTTTTCAAATCTCTGAACTATATTCTATATGTCAAAGTGTCATAATAGAAAATCAGGTTAGCGGTAAGACAAGGTAGGTTTAAATTTGTTAATCAAGTTTGTCCAGGTTAATTGATTTCTGTATACCCCTATGCCATCATCTATGTAATGGTTACAATAATGCCTACCTTTTAGAATCCTATGGGTAGTAGAGATCACATACATTAAATAACAAAGACAGAATTTGTGCATATCATATGCTCAGTAAACAGTATGTATTTTTGAATATGTTTTTCCATGGAGTTTCGCATGAGAATGTTTCAGTTGAAACTATTTTGACTTTCATCTTTCCTGAATGATATGTATGTGTGTGTGTGTGTGTACATGGGTATGACTACAGATCTATTTATTTACCAGTTTCAGCAACAAAAAATAACATGTTGAGGATGTAGCTATAACTATAGATACACTAAAGTGTTATCCATCCATACCTATCACATTAAAGAGTGGCAAATTTGAGAAATCAGTTAGCCTATTCCATAGAGCTATCGAATAGCTAAATTATCAACCCTAATACACCCGAGAAAGCAGAGATAACTTTAACTCATTTTCCACTTTTTCATTCTCCCAAAGGATGTGAAATAGAAGACAAGACGTCCTCTTGTTCATTACCCTGTGCCCTTTGCCCCTTTCAGTTGCATTCTATTTTGGTACAGTGCCTTGTCTGGCAAGGCAGCCTCAAGCTCCAATGGCATGGAATAGTTCAAGCATACAGTCTAGCCTTCACGGACGGGAGCAATTATATGAAAACTTTTCATTAAAACGAAAGACAGCTTTGGCTTTGAAAACATGCTAAACTTTTTCTAATGAGAGTCAAACTGACAAATGTGAATGTTAAACCAGCCGGATATCAACCTTCACTGAGAATTTAAGTCTTCACAAAATTAGTAACCAAGCTAGAAACTGCCTTCATTCAGTCTCAAGGCTATTGGCAAAATCTGTGTTGAAATTTCCCATATTAAGTTAATAATATATATAAAAGCCTATTTAATAGTCTGTGTTTTATGGAAGACATAGTCAGCATAGCACATATTTCTTATACTTTTTGTATTGAATTTTGTAGATGTATAAAAATCTCCTATATGAAAGGGATCCACAAAATAATTATATTGAAAGTGCATTGCAGAAAGGTGCATTGTAGACTATCTGGCATAGTCTAGCTAGATAAAAATGTAACACAGCAACTGCCTGCTAACCAGACCTCTAGTTTGTTTTTCTGTTCTCAGTCATTATCTGTGGTCAGTGCCAATCCTGCATTAAAACCTACAAATTCCTACCTACTCACCAGTAAAGAGACAATGTAGGCATCCAATTTCATTTTCTAGAAGAGTATTGAAGTTTTCATTTTATTGCTTTTGCATATTTTGACCCAGTGTTTAAGAAGATTAGAACTTATGTTGTAATTTAAAATCAGTATTCTAATTTGTGAAGGTATGTGTGTGGGGATAGATAGGTAATGATAATATTCGTATGGTATTGTGGATCTAATTTAAAAAAAAATAAAATACTAGTATAGGCCCTTGTTCATATAAATGCTTTAAAAAGGATAATGGTTATTGTTACTTCCTTCATGATACCATCAGCTCCAGGCTCACCCCTGATGTCAAGTTTGCTGTTATTACATTTGATGTTCAGACTACCTTTGGGGTCATTTACTTTCTTCTTTTAACTATTGCTAACTCCGGGTAAACATTTTGATATATTAGGCTCTTTCCCTTTGATACACACTTAGAATTAAACACCTCGGCTTGGCAACCAATGCTGTGAGGTGTTTTACCTCCAGCAGATTCTTCTATTATTTAATTTAAAGATTCAAAAACAATCTAGATATCCATCATTGAAAGAACAGATAAGTAAATGTGATGTATACACAATGAATACTATTGAGCTTTTAAAAAAGAAGGAAATTCTGTTATTTGAGACAAGATGGATGAAGCTGGAGGAAATTATTATAAGTGACATAAACCAAGCAAATGCATAGTGGGAAAGCAAATCTCTAAGTTGAATGACCCTTTCAATTTCTGTGTAATGCCAAACACAGAATAAAGGAAGCATGATGAAAATACTGATTTGCATAACAGGTATATCCCTTCTCATGTTTCCAGAACACAGTTTGGGAATGTTATCTGCAAAAGCCAGATAGCAAATGTATGGGCTGAGCTGTATCTAAATTTAGGTTGAATCACTAAACCCAGAGCATTAGAATGTGGCCATATTTGGGTATAGAATATTTAAAGAGGCAATTAAATTAAAAGGACATCCTTAGGATAGCCCTTAATTCAATTTGACTGGAATCCTTATAAGAAGATGGTGTCTGGACAGGGGGAAGACCATGTGAGACACAGAGAGAAGATAGACCTGTACCAGCCAGGGAGAAAGGACAGGAGAAGGAGACGTCTCTGCTCACACTTGGCTTTCAGACTTCAGCCTCCAGGATTCTGAGAAAATGAATTTCTGATATTGAATCAGTTCAATCTGTAATACTTTGTCATGATGGCCCTAGCAAAGTGATTCCA